TGTAGTCGTCTTTTAAAACATATAGTAAACATGTTGTACACATTGAATTTAAGTGACATTAAATACATCGATATATAAGTTACATTGTTAAAAATATAAATTATTGTATTATTTCTATCATTATTTACTTTAGATAGTATATTATATAATTTATCTAATAATAAAAGCAATTTAATAATTTAATAATATAATGTTAATTCATTATAGTATTTAAAAAAAAAATAATTTTTATTTAAATTTGTTATTTAATTGTTCATTTTAACGTTTAACTAAACAAAAAAACAATATTAATTTTTGAAAGACTGTCATAGTCACCTCTTTTGAAGTGTTTGAAGTGTCATTTGGCATCTAACTGATGCTAAATGATTATCGTAAAAAAATAGTATAGCTTAAAATGTACAGTATAGAAATTTATTCCCGAGACATATTTGACGCTATGTACAACATAAAAATAATTTGTTCCTAAAATGTATGAAGTACTATTAACTACATAGACATTTATACCTGCAATGTTTTGGGCGCAATTCACAATTTTCTTCTGTCGTTAGACGTGATTAACTTTTTTCATAATGTATATTATAATCTTTAATATTGCATTATCGCAACGTTTTATTTTTACTGATTTTTTGATCTCGATTTCACGCACTTCGCGCAGGCGTAAATAATATTTTCAGAAAAATAACAATTGTATTAAGATCAAACATTTTAATACCACAGATGGAGAAGGAACTCAAACACTCGATTCATATCCAACTGTTATGGCTGTTAACAGGTTGTCAATTTGTAATACATTTTCTCGGGATATTGTTCTTATACGAACGCGAATCGCGGAAGTATATTCTATTTTTATTGTACCTAGTTCGATGCGCTGAAGAGGAACCGTAGAATAAAATTATATGTTATTCTCACAATAATAATTACAAATTCTCGCTCTACTTTGTTCATTATTCGTAATAATTGTTATCGTTCTTGATGAAACAAAAGACAAACATTACTTGAGAAATAAACCACATTTTGATTTAAAGAAATACAATTATATTTAGCTAAATTGAATCATTAAACATTGACGTATCAACTAAATCAAATTAATTATTTTYAAAACTCAGATGATAAGGTTATGCTTTCCCTTGGATGGTGATGGTAATATAAATAATTTAAAATTATGGGGGAGATATAGTATAATAATTATCACTAAACACATTTTGTTTAATATAATTTTTAAATTTAAGTTATGAGTTAAAATATTAGAAATCACTATTACGTAAAAATATATTTACCGCATTTATGCACTTACATTCCAAATTATAGAGATCAGTCTCAGATTTATAATTTWAATAATGACAGAATTTTATCCGATAATACACCCAAATTGAATATAAAAACTAGTTAATATTTGGTTTATTTATTGATATCGTAAATAAATACGATACCGATAAGTAAATAGGTATGTAGTTTATTACTATGACTTATTGCATATAATATATTATAATATATAATATATATTATTCATTTATTTATCTATATTTAATTATTTTTTAACATTTTATTCTCTAACTTTATTTTTTTGACATAATGTTACAGAAATAACTTATTCTTATGTCAGAAAATGGGAAAAGAACATTTTTACAAATTTTTTTATTTAGATATTATTTTGTGGAGTTAGTTAAGTATAATTTTTTGAACCGATCGAGGTCTAAATTTGGATCAATTTAACTCAACTGTAATACGTCTTAAACTCACCATATGTTATGATCATAAATGAMGAATGATCTTTTACAGAAATATATGTAATACAATTAGTATTCATCTACCATTTTAATAAMWTATTAATATACAAATATTTTTTTTTTTAATACCTATAAAATCTAAGAAATCTAGCTGCATTAACCATCCCAAGTAACCTAACCCTCCTCGTCGCCTCAAGCGACAATGGTATAGAGGCCTAATAAACCCTTAATCCAAATAAAAAAGAATAATAGTAATAACAAAAAAGAATAATTGTATACAATAAAATAGTTAAAAGGTGAAATTTTCATCGGTGGGTGACTTCTTCATTCAAAATTTTCAATTTTCTTTTTGTAAATTAGCTCATACTCGTATTGTGCTGATTGTGTATATTATTATTAAAGAAAAATATATATTAAATATGAAATATGAAATTAAATTACGAAAGTAATATGTCATAAATTTAAACAAGAATTTAAATAATATAGTATTTTAATCATTACTATTACAATTTAGTAAATTTATTATTAAGACAATAGGTATTAAATTAATCTGTATTAATTATCTATTTACATTTAATATATTTTCTTGATAACATAATTAATTAAAAGTTTAATCTATTATAATAAATCTGTATTTACGTATCACAGTCAATTATCATAATTTATTATTGTTAAAATTTAAATATCAATATTAACAATGAATAATAATAGATTTTAATTTAATATAAGGATAACTGTATTGATAAATATTATTTTTTAATAAGTAAAACATCAACAGTTTGATCATTTACGTATTTTCTGCTGCATCACAAGGTACTTGAAGGGGCGATAAACATTTCCATAACATAAATGTGAAAACAATTTATACTAATATTAAAATATTAATGACAAAATAATAGTCTACATATTTGAAAATAATCCAATTGTTTTCTACAATATATTTTTAATAATATGTGGAAATTATTTCTGGTATCTATACAATTTGGAGGAATAAAATAAGTTTGTCACTTTGGTCTTTGACTGTCATTTTTACATTACACGATGCATATAAACTAAACTTATATAGACTAACCTTTGCCACCAGGTATCCATATAAAGTATCTRCATGACCAATTTTGTGCATATTTTTGCGTTACTTCTTCCTTGAAGTATTAAACAAAATTACTTGTATGAAATTAGAGCCAATATAAATACTTAAATATGCTAACTAGAAAAAAAGTTAATACAGATTTTAGAAATAAAAAGGTTATTTARTATAACATTATAGGTACAAGATATAATGTAACATAGTAATAAATCCGTGCAGTTAAGACTTGAATACTTTTTAAAACTTACCAGGCTGTCATAAAGTATACTATAGGTACCAAACATTCATTGTGTTGAAATATATTAAAATATTAAATAAAATATTAAATTTATAAATGTTATATTATTATTTTTATTTTGTTCTTTGTATTCAAGTCGCAGTAATGTTTTTTATTAGCGTTTAAGAGAATTTTATTTTGTAATTAACAATAATATTATAAAATTTAGACTATATTCTCGATATCATATAATGTACAATAGAATATTAATTTAATAGTAAGCTTCTCGCCACCACACTTAAACTAAGTTTTCAGAAAGTTSAAATAATTTTATGGAAAACAAATGGAACATTTTGAAATATTTCATGGCCCCTTATTATTTTTACAAAATTTTAAAAATATAAGACTTAATTATAATTTTTTTTTTGAATTAGGCCTCGGAAACTGTGACAATTGGCAACAATGGGTTTAACTCTAAATTATTTACATGTTATATAAGTTACATATTAAATACTATTGATAAGGTTGGACTTAGTAATAAARGTTATTTCAATTATAATAATAATGTACTGCAAGATTCGAAATCTATAATTCTAAACTACATTTATATCAATTTTGTTTTACTCGAACGATAGTTACAAAATTTTGGCTGAATATACTTATGTAGGTACACACTGTGCATAAGCCCTTGTTAACTTCAGAGTAGTTTTTATTTTTGAAGTTATACTCACTAACTAAGCTACATATCAGCTTATGGATAGCTGATGAAGAAAAAACCACAAAGTAAAATATGTTACCAAAATACATTTTCTTATAAAACCAAAATGACTAAATCAGACAACTTATAAACCAATTGCAATAATTTAATATCCAATAAATAATAATATGTAAATACTATAACTAAAACAACCACGGTATATGTATACTATAACAGTATGTAACATCAAAATACCTATAATTGTAAAACATTTAAACGTATGCTGACACAAATGATAAAAAAATTATATTTAACTTACAGTATAAAATAATTAAAATAAATGTATACTAATAATTAACATATTATTACTTTTAGGCTAATGACCTGTGATGTTGAAGCCTTTTATTCCAATAAAAAAAAAAATTATACTTGATGAAATAATAAATATCAATATGCTATTACCATAAAATTATTCAAAATTTTTAATTCGGACATAAATAGAAAAAACGTACAATTTATCGAAAATAAATTATTTATTGCATAAAAAAATGTTTAATCGTATTAATTCGTTGATAATCAATCACCTTATACGTAATAGTGTATTATTATCATAAACTATTATTATATAAATTAATCATAATATTGCACTAAACACCAGATTTTAGTAAAAAGTTAGCCAGTACAAAATTATCTTAATTTAAACATTACAGATCCAGAAATATACCTACTTATTATGGAACTTAATAACTAAAATTGTTTATTATCAATTATTATAATACCCAGATCGCTTAGATGATTTTTTTTTTTGTTTTACTTTAATGCTGGTTAATCGTTTTTACAGATATTTTATTTATAGAATTCAGGATTCAATAGTAAATATATTTTTAATTTTTGGCTTTATGGCTTATGGTAATTTTTTTAATTTATTTTTTTTAGCAGCAAATTAAGGTATAATAAAATAAAGTCACGCGCAGAAATGATTTCTATGGTATGAAAATTAATAAATGATTTTTTCAATTTATTTTCTTTGAATAATCGTTGATTTTCCTTATCTCTATATCAATTGAATAAATGCTCCATATAGGCCATAACAGCCATAACAAAAGATGAATCGGTTAGTTACTTGCCAAATTGTATTTATCATAAGGTAATTAAAATATATCCATTGTGAGTCGTAAAATATTTATAATAGGTAGTAAATAATGAATATAAATAAATATAATAATCCCAAATTKTATTTTATGGTTATATATAGTTTATAAAGTGCAGCGTTAAATTTATTCGTAGTAAACGGTGTCCATTAAAACCTTAAATTTTCACATAAATTCAAATAGTACATCCAAAATAAAATTTTCTAATTGTTAGCGTTTAGGAGTATTTTAATTAAAACGTACAGATAATTTTTTCTACTGTGATTTCCTGTGTTTTTATTCTGTTTAATTCCTTAATTTATGGAATTCGGATTATGAAACGGTCTTTAGTATTTTAATTTAATATATTATATAATTATATGGGTAAGTGTATCAATTTACTAAGCATTTTCGTCTTTTTTTTTTTGAAACAGTTTTAGATCATTGAGTTTCGGACACTGGTTATCGCCGTCATAGTACCTACATGTCACCACTATTGCCACTGCCGATAGCAGTTGCAAAGCGCTACGGGTACTGGGCCTGGGACTGGGGCTGAGACGAGCCGTACGACGACGAGTAGTCCTCGGACGTCTGATGGATTCTGTAGACTGGCATGGCGGGTGACACGATGTCTACCGTTTTCCGGGACCCCGGATACCGTTCCACGTCCGCCGGATAGTTGTGCACGCCAGAGATGTCCACCACCGCCTCAGCGCACTGCCGGTGTGGCACCAGCGTGCTCTCCTCCATCAGTGTGGCCGTTAAGTGACTGCCACCGCCCTTGCCACCGCCACCGCCACCGCCCTTCATGCAGCTGTAGATTGCCAGAGCCAGCGCCGCTCCAGCCGTCATCAAGGCTTTGCTGGAAAGAGCCATCAGAGCGCTGGCTCCGACTGCAGCCATCGTGCCCGCCGCCCAATACAGCCCGTGGTGGTCTTTCTTTTTTCTACCTTTCAGTTTTCCGAAAAAAAAAAAAAAACAAAAAAAATTCAATATGAAAGATCGGCTAGACATTGGTTTTCAAATTTTCGGATTATTCACTCAAAATAACCACAGAAAGCCCAAAAGTGTGATCCAATCACAAACAATAATTTATCAAACCTTAGTTACAAAGTTTCTGTGTACGTATAGGTTATTGATGCATTTCAAATATAAAAAACAAAACCTTGAATTTTAGTAAAAATTGTCTTGTTATAAACTGGAACTAGATGATTGCAATTTTTTTTAAGCTTCCTTACATTAGTATGGAAACGAGAAAAATCAAAATAATCAGCTACCAGAAACCATAGGCAGGAAATAATCAGATCATTGCCAACGGGCAACAAATAACAACACACGAACTAACAGAATTTCAAATTTTTAAAATTAAACTGTCGTAAAGTAGTGGTTTCTTATTATGAGGTAATGTAGATGGCCGCGGTCTGCCAAGCCTGCCGCAGCTGAACCGAATAACTGTGTATCTTAAATCTTACCCAACGCGTAGAATCGATGAATCATAGAAAAAAAAATCACCCTAAGGTACTCAGAATCTAACAAATAGATAAATTATTATACGAACCATCGTAACTTCGTAAGTACTTTAAAATTTTTAAAATCAATTTAGCGAATGGCGTTTTGATTTTTGTTAGGCGTTACACGTTCAAACATTTGTACAAAGATTTTTTTTACACTTCGTTTTTAGCTCGATCTATGTGTGACATATATAGGTAATATCTAGAAACGGTACGACACGTTGATGATGCGTGTCCTTGCGATGGCGTCACGCCGGTCTATTTCAATTTTAGATTTTTTTCCTCCTCAACAGAAGAACCTAATAAACCAGTTGACGGATAATATAATTGCCGTGTACCGCGTTTAATTTGTTTCCAAAATAATAATTACATTTCGTTATTGTTGACGTGCCTGTATACATATAATATATATACCAACACGTCGGTCGGACAATTGAGACGACTTTCACTTCGCCAATACCTATAGAATGCCTATGCTATACCTACAGTTAATGTATACCAATTATCGCGGGCAAAATCAATATAAGCAATAGAGAACTACTGAAGACGAACAACATGTTTTGGTACTTGTGTGTATACAATAATCGGTTATAACGTTAAATATTATACCTATGTTTATATTTTATTGACAATCGAATATCGCCATRGACGCGCCWTTTCAATTGCGCTTAATGCATGGAATAATAATACTGTCCACCTGATAGTATTTTAGAAAATCTCGAAGGGCCGTTAAAATGTTCTACTGRTATGAAACTGGTTGCCGCAATGCCCATGTTACGATTTTAATGACAGCATTCAATATAATAGTATACAGTCAACAAACGTGATAAGGYCATTATTATTTATTAATATTAAAATTCATCCAATATGGACTACTATAGCAAATCACAGGACGATTGATAAATATTTCTCGAAGGCCAAGACTACCCAATCCGACCTGAGAACAATAAAAAGACTTGAGGTAATAATATTTACATTAAATGCAGAAAAAATCGTATAATCAAGTGGGTGTCTATGACGTATAGTATAATATACCATTCTGTATTATTATTAAATTAATAAATATCATTATAGTTTTAGGGGCGTCTCCTGGGCACATTTGTCAACTACATAGCAAAAACGTATGGTTTAAAGTTGCATGTCTTTGCTTAATATAGTTTTAAATAGCTTCTTATAAAATATCTATTTATTTTTGTAAGCAAGTTTTAAAAAGAAGTTGTTACGCAAAGACATAGTAAAATTTAGCTTTAGAATAATTAATTTTACTAAATATTAGAGTGAATTGACCTATTGTCAAATGCAAAGGTAAGTAATATAATATAATTACCTACCCTCATAAGCTTTTTTTAATGATTTAATTTTGAAGCAAGTTTTAAAACTAGTTTTAGAAAAAATTCTACATAAGACCCTAAATAATATTATTACCTTTAACCATCAAAAAGCCCAATACCAATATTATTACAAGTCTATTATTAAAATCACAGAGTAGTTRAACAGAGATAGCACATGATGCGGTTACGATGTCTTCCGATRAAATCGACAATTTAAACCACATTAATAATGAGACAATTAAATATAACAAATTATTATTAAAACTTAACCACTTAACTTATTATTAATAACTTATGCGCATAATAATATGCATTAATAATTCATATATAGTTTTAATATGTATAAATAATAATTTAATCAGAAATAGTTCAGTTGCAGTAAAATATTGACTTAACGCAACTAAGACATTTTCTAAAAAGAGCTACAGGGCATATCCTATAGGATATATATATCCATATCCTATAGGACTGCCTGTACCTAAGTTAGTTTTGCACTTAAATTCTTAGTTTGTTCAACAGTTTGGGCAATAAGTAATGCAAAGACTTGACGGTTAATAATAACATTATGCGTTTGGTCATACTCATTCTGAGAAACGGCAGAATCCGTTCGAGCATGCTGTTACCAACCGATCGGGCCGTCGCGTTGATAGGATTGAGGAGTCTGACCCGTAGATCGATGCTCTCGACGTAATCGTTGAGCCGTTTGGCGATCATGTGGTCCAGCTGGCTGGAGTTGGCCGCTTCCAGCGACTCGTTGCTCGGCAGCATGCCAGCTGACGGGCTGCGCCTCTGGAACAACGTGAATCCCGGATACACTTCGTAGCTCCGTTCGCCGTCCAAAGCGTCCAGGAACAATAGTACGTCCCTCTTGACACAAGTCATCGTGTAATTGTTCGAGCATCTCCCCTGTGGATCTTCCTGCAACAGCCCAACACATTCCACTCATTAAGCATAATTATTTGCGATTCTGTATGATATTACATATTATTATTATCGTACTACGTAATGTTTCATGAAATTTGGTTACCCGGGTGTACAATTATGTAGTGAAATGACAATTTTTTTTTTACACCAAATATTACTTTCTTCTACACAATTGTTAGTAATTAGGAAGGAATATATTAATGCTGTATAGTAATTGGTAATTATATATCAATTTGGTTTAAACTTTAAACGCATTAAATAATAAAAATAAATCAAATTAGTTCAATTAGGTATGTAGAATAACAATTTTTCAGGGGCATCGTATTCAAAAAATTGATTTTTAAAATAACTATATTATCTTCCACCGGCTACTGCTTATAGATAATATCCACACGTCAACTATAAAACATTATTTTAAATTTCATATCATAAATAATAAATATATATAAATACATCATCATATATTTATATTATTACTAAGTGTCTCCTTTATGGGTAATTATTATAATATACATATTATTTATTGATAGTATACTCTAAAAATGTAGGTATTCTGCAAAAAAATTATTCGTTCGAATATATCTAATACCGAAAAGTATGTACCTAATAATAATGATATGATGCATGGTGCATGTGTATAATTCAGCGATCATTAGCTGTGCTCACATTTGAATATTATTGTAATTGCTCTTATATTTTGTTAACTCAAACCGTACATAATATATCTCGTGTGGTTAGATTTCACGAGGAGAAAATGAGTTTTTCATCGATCGTTGACGACAGCGAAAAGTGCTCGTTACCCGGCACCCGCAGCTATAAACATGGGTACTACTTATACATATTGTAGAGTTACATGACACGCGTACCATCACAGATGTCCACGAATTCGAATTCCTGTACCTATACATAGATAAATCAAATAACAATATCATAATATCATACTTAGGTATATATTATGATTGTTTTCACGTGAAACGCATCTTGTGTGGCATGCGTGTTAAGCTGATGAGGATATTAGATGTTCTGTGKGTATGTAGGTATGTCTGCAATGTATAGAAGGTTATGCCGCAGATGTAGAGCACGTCTGATCCGATACTAATAACCGTATCATCAATATGCAGGTCATCGTTACAATAATAACAATGTATTCGTGTGTTATACAAGTAGCTACCTATATTTACTATACTATGTTTTGCGTACAAAAAGGGAAAACCATTAGGTTTGTTTATTTATTTTATTATCTATTATTATTGTTAATATTGCTACTCATTTTTTAAAATAAAATTAAAATTCGGTTTTATGTAGACGATTTCACGTGATTTGAGAAACATAATATTATATACATAAGTGATTCACCATAAGTGTGCATATAGGTATGATATGTATAATATAGAAAACAAAAATAAATATGCATATCATATTACACATATTGAATTATACGCATACCTACGTAAAAATTAGTTGAATTACAGTTTTCACTAGAATATGATTATAATCTAGGAACTCCCTACAATTCGATTGTATAAATTGTATCACCGAGTTTTTACAACTTTAACACATCACAATAATATCATAACTTTTCTTATATGGTTTGAATATATATATTTTTTACTATAGGTACCTATTTAAAAACATAAATTAATTTTAATTATTTCTGGTAATTATATTAATACTATACTCTCGTAGAATTCACCCTCATTCTTTCAGATATAAGGTAAGATATAAAATAATAAATATTAATTTAACCAATAACCATGAAAAATGTATTAAACCAGTGGTTCCCAATTGACGGTTCGCGGAACCCCAAGGGTCCAAGTGTTAATGTGAGAGTTCCGTGGTTATGTATTACTGAAGTGATATTTTTATTATATTTTAGTACAATTTTTAAATACGTATTGGCTTGAAATTCCAGGTATTTTGCGCAATCACTATTGAAACTCGATTATCGCTACAAAGGTTGACAATTAATGTATTATATGTATATATATATTTTTTTTTCATTTTATAATTAAACAAAATTGAAAAGTACGAGATCACAGATAAGGGATTCCCCGTTCAATTTAAGTTTTAGTTAGGGATCCGTGGCTCAATGACAATTGGGAACCACTGTATTAAACTATATTAAACACAATTCGTTGTATTAATATTATGGTATATTAAGTTCTGAGATAGGTGGTTACGTCTTATATCAATAATAAAATCCCATAAATACAYACTATTGTTTCCAAATTTATTAATATATAAAATTATAGTAATATTTGTTATTTTATGTATCAATGAATTTATTTACAATTATTTATAACATAATATAAAATATTCTATATTTTATTCAGTAGAATATAGTTAAATGATTTATGTGTACCTACCTTATATAATATAATTTGAATATTTTCTTTCTAAACTGAAAAATCTTAAGAAATATTAGTATAATTAAAATACATTCATTAAAGTCTCTAACATTTGTAAGATGTATAAATATTAATCATGTATAAATTAGGATAATAAGCATTAACAAATGAAAATGGTAATTTTTTGAAAACATTATAATTACTTATTATACAATATTATACTTTTTTAAGTTTTAAATAGTTGACATTTAAAGGATATTTCAAAATAAAAACCTATTTAACTTCACTTATTAATTTATACATTAGCCATTGCCTGCTCATTAGCCATTATTTAACATTTTTGAAATCGTAATATTTCATATTTCAATAATTAAATTGTATACTTTATTTCTATATCCTTGTATTACATATTTACAATGGTAATTATTAACTGGTAATTAAAATATTTGTATTTAAGTATCCAAGTATTATATTATAGTATTACACAACATTTAACTGAAACTCTACTAACTAAATGTTTGATTTTTAGTAATAAATTAAAAATATCAACTTTAAAAATTATTTAATTTATTGAAATAGAAGAATCATATAATATTTTAAATAATTTGGGAAAGTTAAAATTATCGTTCAGTTTCCATTTGTATGTTTATATACATTAATTCGGCGACTGATGGATTTTTTTACCGAATTAATTTCATGATAAAAGAGTGTATGTGTGAAAGTAGTATAAATCATTTGTTCTTAAAATCGAAATAATAATTCTCAGAAATGACCCGAAGGAAGTCAACCACTATTGGTAATCCATTACCATATAAATGATAGACATTAGAATGAGAACAAAGGGAATCGTTTTTTATCGTGATTCGTGGTATACTATAACTAAATTATTGAAGTAGGTAACATGTTACGTGCATATTGTAATAATAGTAATGCCACTTTCGTCAGCTAAAATATATTCGTTAAATTATTCACAATTCCTATACACAAGAATTCCATACGAGTTACCGTAAAAAATCAGTTCTAAAATATTTTTTTTTTATCTTTTTATCATATACATATTATTATTATATACACAATTTGTAAATATTATTTTACAATAAGCGTATGTTTGGAGGTGACATGGCTTGAGCATCAGCAGATAAGAAGCCGCCAAGAAGTACGAGTAGGTCACGACACCAAGTTTAAGACGCCTTCTGGGGTCACCAGGAGAGTTGGTGGATAGCTCGTAAATCAGTGGATTRCTATAGAACTTGGAATGTGTGCGTTTGTAGAAAGTTTTTGCAACGTTTTGGACTGTTGAAATCGCTAGATCTCTATGTAGAGTGTCGTTCGATGCATATTAGGGGGCTTTGGTTATTTGGCGGAGACATATTGAATAGACTTGGATTTTRTTTAAGTTGGACTTTTAGGCTGCACCTCAGAGTTTAATACCGTCTCGGTTTGAGTAGGAGTTTGTATAATAGTAGCTTGTTTTTTAAGATGATGTGTTGAGATGTGAGGAGATAACTTAATTAGTGAGAGCGATTATTTAAGGAAAATCTTTTGTTGTGGGTGCGAGTTGCCCAAGTTAACCTGCAGTCTAGATGTAGACAAAGGTATCAGACATTTTCGGCGTTTGGGAGAGGTACATTATTGAGGTAGATGGGAGGTTAGACTATTTGCCATAGTTTAAACGTACAGTGGATGGATTGTGTTTTGTTTATATTTATCCCTCAGTCTTTATACCAGGTTGATAAGAGATTGAGATGATTTTGTACGCGGTTTGAGGCTATTTCAGGGTTGGCATGGATCGCTAGAAGCGCTTTGTCGTCGGAAAAGTCGCCAGTTGTAGTGTTGTGGGTGGTTGATTGGTCTGAGGTGAATAGATTGAAGAGTATAGGTGCTGTTACAGATCCTTTTGGTACATCTGCGTGGATTGGTGATACTTTGGATAATGAGAAGCCAGATCGAACATCAAAATGTCTGTTGTATAAATAGGATTTAAATAATAGAAAATAGTATGGCGGAAGAATAGATTTGAGTTTAAAGAGTAGGTCTTTATGCCATACTCTGTCAAATGTCTGTTATACGTCAAGGAAGGCACCTGWGCAAAATAAGCTTTTTTCAAGAGTATACGATATTTTATCCACTAAACGATGGATCTGGTGGTTGGTGGAGTGGTTTTGACGAAATCCAAATTGGGTATTAGGTATGCTGGCTTCTATGGTAAAAAGGATGCGTTTCAGGATATATAATTCGTTCGAAAAATTTTGAAAATAGGGGAAGAATACTGATGAGCCTGTATAATTTGGGAGAGTCATGAGGGTTTGTCAGTTTAGGGGATCATAGTGATGATTGAGAATTTCCAAAGAACAGGAAAGTATGACAGTCTAAGTATAGAGTTGAAAATGTGTGTTTAGAGAAGTAAGATGGGGGAGTTTCTTATTGCATATTCAACGTCACTAGGTCGAATATGTTTAGACTGGAGAATCATGGGTGGAGGGTGAGAGAGAGATTGGTTTACTTTTTCGATTTGAGAAGGAGTAAGAATATTGTTGTGATGCTTGAAGGTAGAATAGAGATGATGTCGAAATGTATTGGCTTTATCTAAATCAGTGACGGCCTAAGTACCATCGATTTTTTTTAGTGGAGGAACAGATTGATTTG